ACCCGAAGAAGCTCCACCAAGTACCAAAACTTCAGCGGAGTCAAAAGCTACTGAATCCACTGCGCTAGTATGTCCACATAAACTCTGCAAACAAGAACATCGCATCATTCTTCTATCCAAGTATCATATTGATACGTTCAGTATAGAACAAAATATTAAGGAGAGGGAACAAATGTTAGAGAAGAGGTGAAATGTGAAAGGTGGTTACCATTAAAGAAGTAGGCTTGCCGATGGCCCAAAGGTTGAGCTTGTAATCATCACCGCCAGTTATAAGAAGCCGTGACGTCTTCTTTCCGATGCTTAGGCAATTTACGTTTGCAGAATGTGCCAAAAACTCCTCTAAGAAACCCAAATCAAGTCAAGTTATAAACAAGAACATATCAGCAAAAGTAACAGAGCAAACCCGACAAGAAAACACCCAAGTAATATTAAGATAAAAATACATTTAATACAATAATTTTGCAGTCTCTTTTCTACCATTTACTCTAGACAATTAATTCTGAAATGCTGATAAAATATCAATAGCATTTTATCAACTAACATAAACAAAAGTTGTGTTCTCTCGAGTTTATAAGATCAAAACTTAAAGATTCACTGATAAAAAGAAAAACATAATTTCAAGATAGAGCTAAAATCCAAGTTAATTAAACTTATTTAAGCTTAAAAAAAATTTCCTTAAAGAAAAATGTTAAGGATACGCAGCTTATATCCACGCTTCGCCATGTTCTCTTGCAAATCCGAATCCGTAGCTTCCGAAATCGATTGAAAAAGGTGAATCGGAATTGTCACTACACGACAGAAGTCTAGAATTTGAAGAGAGATTCAAAGATTGCTTCCCGTTGCGATTTCAAACCTAAACGGGAGAAAGAATCTGATTCGTGGGAAAAAAGGAAACGGAGACAATCAGATTCAAACAGTGTGACACGGAGCAGAAGAAGATGGTAAAAGCAACGAACAAGTTTTCTCTTCCCTCACATTTTATTTTATATTTATTTACTGGTCGGTCGTTTTGATTTTTAGTTCAAAATATTTAAGCATTTTTCTTGGACAGTGGACCTGCAGTTTCTTCCGTCCGACGAAAATATCCTTTTGTCCGGGCATTGAATTGCACCAAGTTACGAAAACAACCTTTGCTTTTAACTGGTTACACTATTTTCTCCAACTCCATCATAATTTAAAACTATTTTTTGGTATTTATTGCTTTCTTCTGTGTAAAATATCATTGGACAGGTGAGAGGGGGAGACACGTCATCTTCTCTTGGTTTTGTTTGTTTCTCGAAACGTTGTCAACCTTAAATAAAGTAATTATGCGTATTTTTGTTTGGTAAGACTCTTGTTCCGAAATACGCTAAGCATTGTCCGTGCGGACCTGGACAGAGCGCCGAATCAAATAATCCAAAATTATACATCGATTAGTCCGAGATTTTTATTGCCATTCAACATATTTTTGCAGATCAAAAACGAATAATTAAAAATAAAAAATCTGCATGCAAATTTAAATTACACATCAAACTTTTGATCTGCAAATAAGGAAAAAAAAAGGGCTGGACATTTTGATCTGCATATACATTATAGTTTGTTTTATTATTATTCTTGTTAATAACTAATATAATTAAAACAATTAATACTTGTTTACAATTTTTTATTTTCTAATATTTTGTATAACTTATTATAATGAATAGATCTATGCTGTTTGGTCATTTATATTTCATTATTTGTAAATAATAATTTGTATATTTGGTTTGAATATTTAATTTTAATTATTATTTTCTAACATTTAATAATATATGATAATTTAGTAAATTTATTTCATAAATAAATCTATAATAGTTTTGTGCATTGTTTAAAAAAAGCGGACCAACCAGTCAAACCTTGACTCCTCCATCTTGCATGTTCCAAGATGTTCTAAACCAGATTGAATTAAACTGTCAAAATTCATAAAAATCAATTAAACCCATAAACCTATGAATCGGTTCAATATTAAAATCTGATTTTTCAAAATTGAAGTAGAATTGGACATTTGGATCCTCAGGTCGGGTTTGGATCCGAGTCTTGTCAGGGTCTACATCATTCGAGTCATAGATATTAAGATGCAATAGGATAATTAAAATTTATTAGTATAGAGATCGGTTCAGGTCTTAGATAGTTAGATCTAATAAGGTAATTATAATTTGTCGCTTTGGGTTCAGAAAGAATCCGGGTCGGGTCCAAAAAATACCTAAAACACACAAAAAAATACTTGATAATATTTAAATATCTGAAAATATTCAAAATTTAACCTAAAATATGATCCCAAGACATGAAAAATACCAAAATTTTATCCGAATTATATTTTTGAAAATCTAAAATTTTATCTGAATACTCAAAATTGAAACTTAGAAAATAACCTTAAGACCAAAAATATACTAAAACACTCGTATAAAGCTAATATATACTAGAAATTTTGGGGTTTTGGCTACCCTATCGGGTATCACATTTGGGTCGCGTCGAATCCAAGATTCACGGGTCCTCAACAACAAGACCCAATAAGATAATAAAATCAGGTTAGTTCCTACTCCAACCGAAAGTTTTCGGGTCAAGTTCTCAGGTCCGGATAACATGAAGTAAAAAACTAAAATTTCAACAACTTGAATTAAAAAAAAAAACCCACATTAGTTTAAGACAATTACATAATTATACTTTATGGTTATAATATTGATGAAAATTATATAATTAATTATATAACTAAATGTATATTTTAATTAATGAAAAATAAAAGAAAAAACTCGGTTGAACTAGTTTGACCGGTCCGACAATTGACTCAATCAACATGCCGAGTCATCCCGTCCGCTTTTTAGAACATAATTTTTGTATAATATGTTGATCTGCATTTGATTTCCATTATATTTTTGATCTATATTTGTTCTGCTTAATTTACAGTATTGGTTTGATCTGCATTTTGTGATATGCGTTCTCCAATCAAAGCTATATATATATATATATAATTTGGATAAGCAACTAGTGAATGTGACTTGGCTTAGTGGTATGCGCCCCCGAAGTTATAGAAAATCTGTGTTCGAGGGTCGAGGCGTGTGTTCTAACATTTTTTCCATATAACATATTCCCTCTGGATTTAAAAGTATGATGTTTGAGGTTTTACATATATATTAAGAAACGATAAATTAACTCTTTTAGTTATTGTCTTTTGGTTTTATCAATAAAATTCAACCAATCATAATTTTATTTATGGATTTATGTTTAATTTTAAAGATAAATGCATTAATTATATCCTCAAACATCAATCTTTCGTATACAAGAAAACTAACTAAGACATCATATATTTAAATACGGAGGGAGTATATAATAAGCAAAAACAAATATTAATGAATTTTATAGGTTCTACGTTATAAAACAAATATATTTTTCTTACATTTTATTTTCCATAAACAACATAAATAAACAAAGTAATACCAAGAAATTATCAAATATAAATAGGTTTACATATATAAAACATTATTTACAAAAAGCAAAATAAAATAAAATAAAATAATTCAAATATTAAAAAAATACATTTTATTGTGAATATATTTTGATCTAATGATTGAAAATATAATAACTGTAAGCAACATAGACTGATAATCTAAAACCATATTTCTCAAAATCACATACGAGATTAAGAAAAAAAAAGATTATAAATAATATTTTACCTAATTTAATAGATATAATTTATTCAATGTCTTCACAATTCTAAAAATTGATTAACTAATTAATAGGATTTATTTATTGTATTAATATCATATGTGTACATGAATTTTCAAAATATTATAGTTATATGTATTAATGCAACACCAACATTATATTTTTGTTTCCAGTTTTTCAAGATAACATTATTAACATTTATAATATTTATAAAATATATTTAGAACTCTTAAATGAAGATATAACTAAATGAAGAAAAAAATAGTTTAAATCTTATTAATGTAAAACAGAAAAATGGTTATTCAATTTGGAATAATTTATGCAACTCAACATACCCAAAAAAAATCAGTTGAATTGACATATTATACTTGATATCAAATAACTAATTAAGATGAGAATATACAGATAACTAGAATCTTTGAATTTTGGATATAATTAACTTATGAAATCGTAATTAATCAATGAAGTTTTGAAATTTTAAATTTTGGATATCCTTATTTTTGCATGGGAACATAATGATAATTATTATGATTTTCTTTCTTATCATAGATATAAATTTAAAATTTACCTAAATTTGATTATTTAATATTTATTCCTCACCTAGTTGTTAATAAATATATGGGTCAACGATCTATTTTCCCATAAAAACTATCATATAGCATCTATATCCACCGAACTATGACAGATTTACTTTCCTATAAATCGATAGTTTGAATCTTAATTGTCCATATACTATAATTTTTATTGGTTTATTGTTAAACCATGTAATTTAAACCAAATAAAAATGTCAATAATCTATTTTTATCAAAAAAGGAAAAATGCTAATACACTATTCAAACTCCACATTATCACTATTATCAAAGAAATTTTGAAGATTTTCATATTTTGAGAGGTTTTGAAAACTTATTTTTTGATAAAATTGAATTTTTGTTTGGTTTTCAGATTGTTTGGTTAACAATAAACCAGTTAAACCATTTTTTATGTGTAATTAACTTCTAAACTATTAGTTCGAGGAAAAATAGATTTCGAACTATCGATTTGGGGTGAAATAAGTTTCTAACTTATAATTCGGGGAGATATGGTACGAGGTGATAGTTCCATGGATATCTGGTGGTATATGATAGTTTTTGTGGGGAAATAGCACGTTTACCCTAAATATATTAACAATTTCTTGATTCTTATAATGAAAAGTAGTGGGTTCGAAAGTGACTAAGCCTTGAATGTTTAATGAGCCTTAAATCTGTATTGGGCTTATAGGAGTAGTAAACAACGTAGATAGACTTGACTTTCCGAAAAATCAAATCTCTAGGGTTTCTTTATAGTCTCTGTGCCGCACTGCAAAACTCTTTCTTCTTCTTCTAGTGGAGAACTAAAAGCTCAATCCGGATTCCACAGCTATGAGTCGGTCAGGTCAGCCTCCGGATCTCAAAAAGTAAGCGCTTCTATTCCTTTTTTATCTTTGGTTCGATTATGTATACACTTGGCGTTTGCTGATTCTTTTCGTTCGTTGTCGGGATTGCAGGTACATGGACAAGAAACTCCAAAGTAAGTTTGTATATATATATATATTCATTCTCCTTTATTACACCAAAGTGTTATTAGTCTTGATTGGAACTAATATCTAATTGGTATGCAGTCAAGCTTAATGCTAACCGAATGGTTGTGGGAACTCTTCGTGGGTTTGACCAGTTCATGAACCTTGTTGTGGACAACACTGTGGAAGTCAACGGTGATGACAAAACAGACATTGGAATGGTGGTAAGTCTTTTAGTACCTGTCTATTGGGTCATCTGTTAATTTTAGACCGGTATTTACTTTATATTTATTTTTGGTTTTGGTGTGACAGGTGATTAGAGGAAACAGCATCGTCACCGTGGAAGCTCTTGAACCAGTTGGCAGGTCTTCTTAGCTCAGTATATGTAATCATCTCTTTGTACTAAGCACTTGTTCTTTTTGTTATTCTCTCTTTGGGTGGTAGATTGTTGCAGTTATTTTGAACTTATCAGTAAGAAAGTCTACATTAATACTCTTGCGTGTACTAAAAGATTGTCATGAACCCCAAGAATGTGATGGATAAGCGGATTTCTCTTATCTTCTTGTGTTTATTCTAGATTCCTTACTTTTGTTATCTCATATAAAGAGATTTGGGGAACTTTGGACTGATAGTATATTAGTGAATACCTAAATACTGAGTTAGTTCGGTTATGACAGTATTGCTAGGAGCCTAGGCCATTTGGTTTTGTAAGTGGTAATGGTGTCATATGTAGGCATAAGGATGTGACAGTTCTGAAATTACCAAAAGATGCAGAACACTTTTCTAAAAAATTTGGCCAGGTTTGTGAATATACAAAACTTGTTGGCTGCTTTGATTTAAAAATCCCAAATGCTGGTGCGCATAATGTTAAGGATTGGGGCAGCTTTGGAAATACAAAAAGATATGGGTAGAAACAATTTCAAATCAAAATATATGGAGCAGAGTATGTTTTTAACTATCAGAAGATAAAGGGTGATAATGTAAATAGAGAAACTATATATTGCAGTTATGTGAATGCAAAAGATACGGCTATTTGGAGTAACAAAAAGAAATGGGGTAAATATTGGGTCAGCTTTCAAATACAAAAAAAGAAAAAGAAAGAATATTTGTTATCATGATGAGGAATAGTCATCGAGTAGAACACAGTCGATTCTCTGTAGATACACATTCTTCTCCTTGAGGTCGTAAGCAATATTATAATACTGCTGAGCCATCAACCCAATAGCTGTGAAATCTTTATACTGCCTTCCATGTTCCGTCGTCGGCCTCACCGACATACAAAACACGTTAAGATACACATCCGTCTCCGACAACGGATAAAACATGCTCACACCCTCCATAGCCAGCTCAGCTCCTCCCGCAAATCGAAACGTCACCACAGGGAAACCTATCAGCTCCTCGCTTACTTTCCCATGGTAACACAACATGTCCCTAAACCAAAACCTCTCAAGCTGCGTATCAAGAATGGCTTTCACTTCGTTGTAGAGTTCTCTGTACGCTGCTTCCGCTAGCCACGTGAAGAGTGTCCCCGAGTCTAGTATCACTCCTGTTCTCGCCCCTCTTCTCTTGAACACCGTTGGTTCTATCTTCAGCTGTTTCTCTCCGACACTGATCCCTTCGAGACTCATGTAGTAGATACCAGTCTCTGTCTCGATAGGCGTTGGATCGCCAAGAACATCAGCGTCCTCTCCAAGAACCAGCTGGTTGTAACCGTAGTCCTTGTTCGCTAAGTCGCCTATGCAGTAAGAGAATTTAGACCCGAGCTGGACCGCAACGGACGCCGGTTTAGCTCCTAAACCCAAAATACCGGTTAACTCACTCCCTAACTGCTCACCATTCTCATGACCACACCCAAACGCAACGGGTCTGGTTAAAACTCTGTTTCCGCTAGGCGTTGTGAACGTTAACTCTTCTTTAGCGAACACGCCTTTGGAGCCAGCGCCGTTTATGTACACTTGCTCGTAAAGACACTCGTGCGAGGAGCCACAGTGTCCGGCTGGTGCGTACCTGCAAAACTCATCGTTGCATGAATACTCTACGTATGATGAAGACAATGCTGGATTGAAGATGGGACGTGTTGAAGACAATGCTGGATTGCAGGGAAGACATTTGATCCATAACAGTGAGCTTCCTGTGTCCATGATTGCGAACTGTTGTACCGGAGGCTGTCCTACCGAGAAGTTCACAAAGAACATTGAGGTTGTGATTGCTTGGTGCATGTCGACTTGGAAGTCACTGTTGCTTAGCTCTTTATCAATAGTATTCTGTAGATGCATGAACCGAGCTGATGACATACTTGTCAGGTGTTGGATATGGTCTTCTAGAGTGACTGGAGCTCGAGCCTTACGGGCCATTGTGTCACGGTGTATAAGCTTCATAGCCATTCGGTTAGGTTTGTTGGAGGATTCTGTAAGTATGGAGTATGAGAGAATGATGAAGAGTAAGAGTGATGTTTGGAAAAAACATTCCATTGTTGTTCAGACAGAGCATGCACTCATGGACTTGAGAACTCAGAACAAGAACAGTCGCATATAGCATTTTGCAACACAATAGAAGATTAAGATATGGTCATGTCATCAAGATTGTGGTTGGAAGAAAAAATATAAAATATCAAAACATAACGAATTGATGACACCAATAGAAGAAATAATATTCAAGAAGAGCAACCAAAGATCATGAGACTACTAATAGCAAAAGTTTGTTGGGGCTATGTATTATTATAGGTTCTTGATCTCATATAACTTGTCATGTATTTCACATCTTTTTTAGTGGGAGATTTTAATATATGCATAAGTTACAAAATATATATAACTAAAAATAGAACCCTCCTAGTCTTTTAACTCTTTTCTATTGTTTCCCAAATATTCAGAGTAAAGATCTTTTCAGACTATAAATAGCAAAGATTTGTGAAGTTATATATATTCTTATAGGGTCTTGATCTCATATAACCCCGTCATGTCCTTCACATCTTTTGTAGTGGGTGATTTTAATATATGCATGTGTTATAAATATATATAACTTAAAGATCGGAAAATAATAGTAATAGTCTTTTCTGCTGACTAGGTTTCTTGAAAAATAATTTAAACACTGCTGTTTCTAGTTTGATTTTTTTTTTGTTCTAGAAATGTAGGAAAATTATGAAATTTCATTCCATTTTCAATTAAGTTTGGATAATACTGATAGGAATTAGTTAATATCCCATTATATTTTTGGTTCCAATTTAATTTCGATATTTTGGTTAATTTGAATAATTCCAATAAAAATGAGATTCTAAGTTTTTGAGATTAAATCTATTATATAAAGCAAAGCTTTCCTCCCTCTAAGGCTGTCCACATAGGCGCCATGTCATTAAGTCCACGTGGACATGTCTACATGGGCCTCTAATCTATTTGTTTCCTTCCCATTAATGTTAGGCTTTGTCTCAATTCACTGGCCTGTTTACGTTTACTGATAACCTAAAAGTTGTGTTTTTTTCTGCGCCGACTTGCGGCTCTTGGGGTTCTTCGTCGCCTCTGATCACAAACGAGTTGCTAAATTTCTTAGTCCGCTAATAGACAAAGCTCATCCTCGCCATCGGCAATTAGGTTGCCTTACCGACTTCGTTCGTCGCCGTCTCGGATAAAGACTACGTTAAGCGGGCCTGAAGATCCACTTCGCTACGAGATCTCCGTCGGTGATGGAAACGTCGGTTACGATGAGAGAACACGCGCCAGGGGTACGGGATCGAGCGCGTTTGCAGGATGGTGTTTGGTCACAGGTGCGAAACTCTTCCTTCTTCCATGAGAGTGATGTTTGTGAGGTGAAGTATCGAATTAAAATTGGAACCTTGATTCTGATCGGTTTAAAGGGGCAAAAAGCGTGAACCAGTCTTTTGAAATGATCATTGAGTACTGTTCATAAGTTTTATAGATTCATTTATTGCTCTGTATTGGTTGTCAGATATCAGAATCAAACGGTTTTATCATATTGTTTTTATCATATTGTTTTAAACAATTCAAATATCCAAGTATCAAACTTTTTATTCATCTGGCAGTGATGTATCAGTGAATTTGAGTTTGTTTCATCTGGCAATGATGTATCAGTGACTTTGAGTTTGTTTGACGCTCAAGCTGTTTGGTTTCATAAGAAACTTGAAGCCATACGTGGTGATCCAAAGGTGATTATTGCTACAAGCATTAACCCAAAAATGGTAGGAGGTATTTAGTTGCTTCCTTTCATTAATCAGTCCGCCATAAGATAGAAATTACAGGTCTGAATTTTCTTAATACCTTCATCAAGCTTTCATTGTGTAGGGCGTTTGTTTCTTAATGCACCGTCAGGAACACACGTTTATTATCACAAGGATACAAGTATTGGTTTGATTCAGACAATTACTACGCTTGAACATTGATTTACATTTTCAAGAGCACAAACTTTTCCTAATGCAACATTCAGGTGGTTAACGTTAAAGACGTAGCGAACGCTCACATTCGAGCGTTTGAGAATCCAGAAGCTAATGAAAGATACTGTTTAGTGGAAAGAGTTGATCACTACTCTGAAGTTGTTAACATCTTGCATGATCTTTACCCTGATTTTCTACTTTCTGAGAAGTAAGTCTTTCTTTTGATGTCAAAAACAGAGCAGCTCTATTTTTGTTTTATACAAATTGTTAAAATTAAAGACAAGAACTTTGAAAGACTCCTGTTTTGCAGGTGTGCTGATGAGAAAATATATATTCCAACATACAAAGTGTCTAAAGAGAAAGCAGAGTCTCTTGGGAGTTGAGTTTGTGCCTCTGGAAGTCAGCATAAAGGAGATCGTAGACAGTTTGCTGCTGTTACTGGACACCACCACCAGGTTTTGTTTCAAAATCATTACATCTCATCAAGTCTATGATTTAGAT